AGAAACTCTCTTTCTATGGTTTGTGATAGAGTGTCTTTCAACGTTGGACTTATTTTGGACATTATAATGTTTCTACGGATCATTGATTCGTTGCGGTGTATGTCTGCAAGCAGCATAAACAAGTCATTGGTGCATTCGACGATGAGCACATTGTCTTTGTCTTTTTTATCGTTGATCAATTTTGTGACCATTTTTGTGGCTGCAGCTAAACAGCTATTGATCTTCTGTTGCTTTGCGGCGTAAAAAAAATCTGTAGGTAAAAAAGTTTTTAAAACTTGATGTTTGATTTAGTTTTGAAAAGTTCAGAAATGGGAATTACAACGTTCGATCGTCGCAACTCCCTACAATTTAAAAACTTTTCTAAAAAATTTCTAAGTTTTCTAAACTTTTCCCAAGTTTTAAAAAAATTAAAACAATTCACATAACCAATTGGACTTTTATTCAGTCTCTATAACATTAGTTGGGATTACAAAATATTTGAACCCTGCCACTTCATAAAAAAAACATACTTGTTGAATTGCACTTGTGCTTATAACTAATAAATTACCGTCAAGAACTTCACATTTACTTATAGTCGATACATTAAAATTGGGATCTTCAAATGAAAAAGCACTCGATAATTTACATAAGGTAATTATCACATAAGTTTTACAATCGGCGTTACAACTTTTGCAAACAATTTCACAATCACATGCGCACAAAGTAATGAAGTATTCAATTATTCCATAGCAATCGTTGTCAAGATATGTAAATTTTAATTTGTTTTCTTTTTTTTTCTGTATGATTGGGTTTCATAGTAATTCTTATTTTTTAACAATCTCGTAACTGTGTGGCACTTTCTCAAATCAATGCACCGATCTTCGCGTAAAAGTTCAAAAAAAACTTCTGGTATCTTTTTTTCTTTTTCGTATGCTCCAACTGCATAAAGATTAGGACCTAAATTTTTCAATTTCGATCGTCTTGTACCAGATGTACTGAGTTTCTCACAAAACGTGAAAATTGCACTGCCAGGTGTCAGAATCTCATCTTCTACTTCTAATAAAGTGAACATTGTTGATAATGCAGAATAAATTTGTAATTCTGGATGACGTGAGCTATGGACATATCATTTTAACGTACCATTCCAGTTTTCAAATGGAAAGCAATTAATTACCCAAAGCGGTCCAAATTTCCTTACTGCATTCGGTAAATGTAAAAGTAGGTGTAAATTGCAGGTCATATTTTTTTTCCATAAATCCCTTCAAATTCAAAAACGAAAACATTCAATACCCTCGATGCCTCAGAAATCATTTCCTCTGATATGCTTGTTGAATTTAAAAGCGAGATAGCGTGTACCAGTAATGCATAATGTCGTCGAATATATGGTTTCATAAAGCTTTTTAGTACAGGTAAACTATAGACCAATAGAAACACCTTCAGTTCACTGGCTTTAAAGTAAGTAAAATCGGTGACTTTTCTAGGATTTCGAGGAATGCAGGGTAAAAGAGTGAAGGCTTTTATGTAACGATTAATGATTGTTGTGTACGGAAATAAGGAATATTCTTCCGTTCGATTCTCGGCATCAAACCATAATATCATCAACTTTTTCACACACCCTTGGTATACATTATGCATAACGTATAACTTTATTTTTGTAACATAAATTATTTTAAAACATTTCTAATTACAGTGGTCGCCGCTTAAGAGAATTGCGCTTAATAGAATACGCCGGTTAAATGAATCAAAAATCCTAACAATGATTTTCCCGTATCCTTATACATGTAAAATTCACCGCTTAAGTGAATAAACTTTTCGCTTAATAGAATCAAATTTAGTTTGAAGACGATGTTTACATTCAATGTTGTTGTCGATTAAATACAAGTTTCATTGTCAGTACTTTCTCATAGCACCGTCGGTATTACATGCTCATAATAATTAATTGTGTTAGTGATACAAGTATGAAAAAATCATCAGCTATAGTTCATAGAAAAGGCTTAAGTGTCCTTGAAAAAAAGGAGCTACTAAAAAAATATGATTTGTTGCCAAATTTATCACAAAGTGATGCAGCGCTGTTATTAAACATATGTATATGTAGAGTATTCTCTGTTCTGTATATGAGAGTTTTCCCTCTCTGTTTTAAAGTTCTTATCAACTTTTTCAATCATTTGATCATATTTATCTTCAAAGTTCTCGCTGACTCCGAAGAACTCACTTGTGCAACTCCAACATATTTCTAGATCGTGAAGCGATTTCCTCAACCATGAAGATCCTGAAATCCTTTATGGCTTCGTCCATTGGCTGAAATAATGGGCTGTTCCTATCGAGCAACAGTACCGCAGCAAGGTATAACTGTATTACATGTAAATTAATTGTCTCCAGTTACGTTAAGTGTTGTATGTTATATGTGTTATTAGATGGATATAGTGAATTAATGTCATTCTAATGCGACAAAATGGATTGCTGTTCAATGTCAAGTAATATCAGCCAAGCCACTTTGGAGAATAAGTCCGACCATGCCCCAAGATACGGTATTGAAAGTTGTAGTGTTGTTAACTAAGATATCGCATCAGAAGAAAATGGAGCATCAATATTCAGCGATTTGAAATTGTCTGCGACTCGATGCCAAGCTATCATTACAAATGTAATTGGAAGTTCGGTCCAAGAGGAATTAGCCCAAAAATTGCGTAATAATTTATTTTGTATATGTATTGACGAATCTACTGATGTTTCTTAAGAACATGTACTAGCAATAGAAATAAGATTTCCAAATGTAGGGAGGGGGGTAGTTATCTCTTCCTGCGCACGAGCTCCAAGCCTCCTGCAGGCCCTTCTAAGAAGATGTCTAATAAAAGAGAGAGAAAAAAAATTGTACAGACCGGCTCCATCGAGAATTTTTTTAGGAATTATCTCTCTCATCGGAAAAAGAAAATCTGCCTCTTCAAGTGCAGAACGCATTTTCCAATATCAACAGATTTCATTCGAAAATTTTAAAATTCCATTTAGAAATATATACGCAGTAGCGTTTGATGGCTGCAACACAACGATTGGCGTACACAAGGGCTTTAAAGTTTTGTTCGAAGCAGAAATTCCGTACATTATAACGATACGATGTCCAGCACATATCACCCATTTGTGCATGAAACACGCATCGCCAGAGATGCCCACTAAAATTATAAATTTGATTAATAACATATCCGCTTTATTGAAAAGCCCACATCAGAAGCATGATTTGCATGAACTCCAAGAGCTAATGAAAGAACAAAAGCACAACATTTTATCTTATAAAGAAGTTCGTTGGCTTTCCCTTGAAGCTGTAGTTAATAGAATATTGGAGCAATGGGAAGTACTTCGTGAAGTTTCAAAAAAGTTTTTCGAACAACAAGATGACTTGGGTATTAGTATCTACTCTGCGATGATGAACTATTACATATGGCTTGAAAACTTTGATTTTCTTTATTAATTTTTAGACGCTTTGAAGGTGGCTCTTCTTTACTATTGCCAATTTTTATCGGTGGATGAGATAGAAAATGTTTCTTATGGTGACGAAACTGCGCGCAGTGAAAAAAACTATAGCAGTGGCTAAAAGTACAACTTTTGCCATCGAAATCGCGTATTTTCGCCCAGGGGATCAAGAAAAGTACATTTTAGTAGTAAAACTTTCATTAAAAAATGCCGCCCGTCTGGCCCGCAGACTGCCGAACTCATGCGAGAGATTTACTCCGATTGTGAGCTCGACTCCGCGTCGACTCGGTGTGTCACAGCGGGCCGTTATACGACCACCACGTCACAATAATAATATGGAAAATTAACAATGTCTAATTATAAAAAATACTGTAAATGTGCTTATGCATCTGCCAAGCAAATATTATATAAATCTTGGTTCATCATCTCGCTAAGGATCTGTTCACAGCAGATAATCGGCAGTCGGCAGCGTATGAGATTCATGTAAGGATCCAGTGCCCAACGCCGGAAAAATCCTCTAGACATCATCTTGCACAGACGCAACTGACAAGCCTCTTTAACTCCTTCGGTAAGTATCGAAAGATAATCAAATCTCGCAAATCTAAAGTAGTCCTCATATGTGAGCAGTTTATCTTCCTCTTCGGGTGTTAACTTACTCCACTCGTAGAGCGACAGACTCGGGTCGTTATCCCTTATCATAATCTCTTTCGCTTTGCTCGTGAACTCCTCGTCGTCGTACCAACATTTATCAAGATTCGACGGCTTCTCGAACAAATCTCGTTCAGCGAAGAATTTCATGATCGTCAGAGCGGCGTCGCTTCGGTTGAACTCATATCCTCTTTACTCAAGATTTTCAGCGATGGCCAGTAGACTAGACGCCATTATCAATTTAAAATTATCGTAAATACTACTGAAGTTTCGCGTATCCAACTTCTCGGCGAAGTCACTCGCGGTTGGGAAAACGAAGCTCGATAGATCGGCCCCGTGATCGAATAGTATATCGACCACGCGAGGCACGATATTTTCCACGGCCCATCGAAGAGGTGTTCGGCCCAATTTGTCCAAGACGAGCTGGGCCAGCCCAGGAAACATCACTAATAACTCATCTCAACTCGAGACGACTTTGCAAATCACATGCAGTGGTGTGATTCCTTCCTCGTTAACCAAATTTGGATTGCGCCTCTTCTCATCAGTAATTCAATCAAACGTGGATCGATGGCGAATCTATACGAGTGGTATCCCATACAAATTCTATATAAAACCACGTGCAATGGTGTATCACCGTACTTGTCTGCGGCGTCGACTTGAACCTTCAGCTGTCGTTCGTCGCAAATATCGAAGAATAGTTTCGCCAAGCCAAATTGCTATCATCTTCATCGCCTACAATGCGGCAAATTTCATGCAGGAGTCGTACCATCATCGGCGACTAAAGTTGCATTGGCACCTCTTCTCAGTAGCTTTTCGACCACCTTCTTGTTACCCCAACCTCCGGCCTCGTGCAACGGTGCTGTGCCTGTCCCATCCTGAACGTCGACAAGAGCCGTCTGCTGTCGTTCGTCTCAGATCTCGAAGAACAACTCCACCAATCCATCGTCGTAGTCGTTGACATACTCGTTAATGAGGTGCAGAGGAGTCACTCCGACGTTGTTTGCTAAACTTTGACCGGCGCCTCTTCTCAATAGCAATTCGACCAGCTTATTGTTGTGGCATTTTAGAGCCAATTGTAGCGGTGTGTTGCCAGACTTGTCCAGGGCGTCGATTTGAGCCGTCTTCTGTCGTTTGTCCAAGATCTCAAAGATCATCGTCAACAACTCATTGTTCATTAAGTCGCTAATTAGGTGCAGAGAAGTGGATCCATCATTGTTGGCTATATTTAGATCCGCGCCTCTTATCACTAGCAATACGACCAGTTGTCTGTTGTCATGTACGATTGCCTCGTGCAAAGGTGTATTACCTAAGCTGTCCACGGCGTCGACTTGAACTTTCAGCTGTCGTTCGTCGCAAATCTTGAAGAATAGCTCGGCTAGCCCTTGACTGTCATCTTACTTGCTTATGATGTGCAGAGGGGTCCATCCTTTCTCATTGGCTATATTCGGGCAGCGCCTCTTCTCAATAGCAATTCGACCACCTTCGTTGTGTCGTCGTAATTAATTGCCACTGCAAAGTGCAGCGGCGAATCACCTGTATTTTTCACAAGGAGATTGGGATCCTGACCGAGGTCGAGGAATTTTTCGACGACGTCGTCCAAGTCAAACTCGCTAGCCAGATGAAAATGAGTGTATCCAAATTTATCGGTATAATTCACATCGTATCTGTCGTAGATTCTAAAAAGATCTCTGATCACGTTCAATCCGAATAAACCTGCACTGCCGTGACGCGACGAGATATTGGCTTGCCTGCTTCGTCGAGTTTCGGCTCGTCCTTGAAGCCTGTTCGAGCTACAAACTCGATAAATCGTTGGAGTTGAGGAGGATTTTTTGTCACGTTGGTGGCCTCCATGAGAAGCCAGTCAATATCTTCGGCCCGAAAAACGTCTAGGAGATTTGGAAGCTGTACCTTCCAGTCGCTCGTCAAGTGAAAAAGTCGACGGAGAAGATCACGTCGCTCCTTTATTAAATTCCAATCGACCTCGGCTCGCATCCTTTTTAATTTTTCTAATCTGGACATCGTTGGGTGCACTCACACTCGCGACGCTTGTATTGTAAAATATTTTTCAATTTTTTTCACGAAAAAACCACAGGTCACAATCGACGCGATATACCTTAGGTCTTCATGCCGCGAAGTTGTAAAGTGTACTGTCTACGATCGACACTTTGTACTAGACACTAGAGAGAAAAAAAAACACATGGGCGCAGGTTAAATAGGCTATGTGCAGCGACGATTAAAAACTGAAAGTCCAGTGTGGGAGGAGACTCTCGTGTGCGCGTAACGTATGCGTCATTTAGTGAAAATAACACATTGCCGGGTATAGGAGTCGTTCAAACTTCTACAACACAGCAGTGCGATTGGAGTGGACATTCGATTGTTATAGCTTCGAAAACATTAAAAATAAGCCACATTAAAAGCCACATTAAAAATAAGCCCGTCACATATATGTGACAGGCTTGAAAATGAGATTTGGAACCAGATGTCGTAGAAAATTTGGTTTACATAGATGGAAAAAACTACATTGATAATTCACGTGGAAGATTTTTGACAATCAATTGACAGTGGTTTCTATTTAAAATATAAAACGTTACAAAATTGTTTTAATTTATTTTTCGATTACTTATGTCAATCTGCCATACTACGATACTCGGTTAGCTGCCGATGATCAACGGTGGAAGATGAATTCCAAACGATGCGGTGCCACAGGTAGCCGATGTCACGAACACTGGTTGATGTGTCCGATCAGCAGTAAAATCATCGGATTAATCTGCCGACCTGGTTGGTAGTCTCGATGTCACCGACGAACACCCATGTACGTTGCTTATCTGCACTGTACGAATAGGACCACCTTTTTAGAACAGGGACAGGAGAAGAGAGGTTATAATCAGTATTAGTAGAGAGGCACACATCAACCAACTAAACCGAGTCCAAAATATCCATGTGACGTCGCATCAATTGAAATTTCTAAAAATAATTCATCCATAAGTAAGACGAGGTGGTTAAATAAACATTACCGATCCATGAAACACGACCATCATTTATATTCCACATAGCGTAAATAATACGAAAATCAACATACGTAAAAATCATATTCTCTAATGGATTGATGCTAAAAAAGGGAATTTTTCAAATTATAATTTTAAAAAATTCGAGAAGCGCGCGGGGTCAAAACTTTTAATCATATATTATGTGTTTATTTACACTCTTTGCTGTAATCTCAAATCTGTCAAATGCTTGATCGATGAACATTATTGGCCGCTTCAAGTTCTACAAACGTTGCAAAATATACAATTCGATAGCATCGTATCACTGTAAGAAACATCTCGTGAATAATTTGAAACATCCATGCGTATATTAACACTGCCTACAAGCCTCGCACTACTATACGGATAAATATCTTCCAATATGATTTTACAGCAGTTATATATGAAATACCGCACTCAGATCATTTTCAAGCTATGAATGTTTATCGTTCGTTTTCAGGCAGCAATTATGATACTCAAAACATTAAATAAAACATTTTAAACATAAGAATATACATTAAATAACTCACACAAAGCTTGACCGTTACAAAAAATATGCGCACCCATAACCATTCCTGATGTGCGTGTATGAATAGAAAAAGGGTAAAAAAATAACTTTTTGCGGCACTCGTAAAAGCGACATATCCCGCGGCCAACATGATTATTCGATTTGAGCACCGTCCGGTGGTAGGCACGCGGCACAAGGTTTTTTTGCCTCTCAAATATATACACAGTGAATTTGAAAAAAGTACTTTTATAGCGGCTTTGTGAATACGTATGTATGTATCCGAGGCTGATAAGTGAAAAAAGGAATAATGTCTAAAACCATGGCTATAATACAGTTAAAAAATATCATGTTGAAACCCAATTGCGCCATCAGCTTGAATTATGTAATACGCAATTGAACTCCTTAATCGAATCACAGTTATTGTAGACGTGGGATTTGTGCAATGAAAAATAAATATTTGCGAGTAAAGTTACAGTAGTCGTTTATGCGACCAGAATTCAATAATGGTTTTATTCAACAAAAACCTACTTTTCTGCGCTTAAAATTGATGCAGATTTCAAAAAAATATATCAATACAGTCTATTTTCAAACTTTAATATCAAAGCAGAATAGTTTAACGAGATCAAAGTAGATAATTAGTATAAGTACTTATACTTTACATGAAACAATAGATAAATGATATAAGTTGAAGAATAAATAATCAAAGCGCACAAGTTAAGATCGGAATATTGAAAATCTATTACACGCAATGCAATTATACTGCGGTAAGGTACAAAAGGATCATCGTTTCTGAATACTCTGTACGCATGTAAATACAGGGTACATGCGAAAGATTAGTGCACTGCTAAGCAAAATAATTTTATTCAAGAACTCAGAGTATGTACAAAAATAATTCATCGCCTAAGCGGGAAAATCTTCCTTTAACTTGCGAGCAAGCCTTAATACGCAAAGAGGTATACTGCATATATGCTGTTACTTACTTATACGGAGTCGGGGCTAGAACGCCGCATAGCATGCCCATCTCGGGGGCACAAGTGCACAGATGAGGGCATAAATCCGCGTGAGACCTTTGTGGCAGACAAATATATAAAATATTATTCAAGCATTAGTATATATTCCCTTGTAGTATACATTCGTAAAAGATGGCTATGTTGCAACAGAATGGTGACGAATTAGGGTGATCATAAAATTTAACATCAAAAATACTCTACTGAGAAGATTTGAAAGGAGTGTTTTCTTCTTTTCTATTTCTTGCCTGCGGCTGACTTTTTCCCCCATTTTTATAGACAGATGCAATTATATATATGGGCTAAATCGAATCATCTGATTTATCTAAAAAATTAAATTGCACAATTGCAAGGTGTACATTGTCCGAAGAAACTTTCTCAAACTTAAACCCTCTAGCTCCTTTCCTCGTCGATATACGGAAACTCAAAGATGGAATTTCAAAATTAGGAATCAGGAGATCTTGGAGTACCTAAAAATATTTTTTTATTAATTTTATTAATAAAAAAAACTTCGCGTATGCGAAAGTTTCATTTCCCTTATTAAAAAATCTACTATTTATATTATATTAAAATTATGCTCGAAAATCCAGCAAAAGAGGCTCATTCTTGCATGTGTGTGGGACACGCTTTCTACACATTTGAGTCACGAGGTGATGCGACATTACTTGTTAACCAAAAAGTTAACAAAAAAGCTCACAAAAATAGCTGTTTCTCAGTAAAATTTAAAAAATTTTAAAAATGCAATGAAAAAGGGAAAAAGCAATGAAAAAGGGAAAAAGATTCTTTGCTTTTTTTTCGAAAAAAAATATACAATAAAGCAATGATACATCGAAATAGATTAATTTAATTTATGCAGATGGCATTATGTATGCTTGTGTCTGAAAAATATTGAATTTATATTCTACCGTGGAGATTAATGACTACGTTCTGTCAAGTATATGAGTGTGTATACCTTCTCACACCATACGGAAATTTTACAGACATGTTTAATATCCAAGGGATTTTCTTTTCAAAATGTTGAATGTTCCGTATGAATCAAGAACTTTGACGTGGTAGGTTTCCCTCGTAACCCTTACTAGATATTTCATTAGATTGTAGATGATTATAAAACGAAAAATAGCTCGTAAGTTATAAACTTTTGAATGTTGTTCAATTGAAAATGTATATCAATTGACTTCGAAACGATAAAGCGAAATAATTTTGAATACTTAGTATCAAACAAGCAGGCTATTATATCACTCTGAAAGTCCGATGAATTATTATCTACACAAATTGTATTCATGAATCTTGAACGTATTTTTGTATGTATCGAGTGAACCACAGCCGGGTATTGCTCAGGTGAAGGTATTACTAAATAAATCATCTACTCTTCGACTACACTGTTCTCCTCAATTACTGAAGAATCTTCTCCTTGGAGTAAATATACAAATACATAGTCGCAGATTTTTCTGCTTTTCTAAGGATTACGCGAGATAAAATTAACAAAAGATGATTTTAGAGGAACCAAGAGAAGAAATTCATTATGAGTATTTACACGAAAATATAGGGAAATATGAGTAAATGACATTATAGTATCAACAATGCGCTCGAGGCGTTACTGTGTGTATTTAATTGTATCCTTTTCTCCTATGTCGTACCTCTTGATACACATAAAACTCATATATTAGATCAAATTCACTAGTAACGTGCATAGAATAAAGGATTTATCAGGCCACGATGATACTAATAGGTTCAATATTCAATGAAAAAAAATGATCTTCACGCCTCTTGGACAGGCGCTGCTATGATAATTAATTTAAAAGCTTTTTTTTGTTTAAAATTCTGAATATTTCATTTAATTATTAATTGAGAACCCTTTATTTGCATGATTTTTCTCTTTTGCCTCGAGTCCATTTAATCTTATACCATAATTTTACGGGGAAAAGTTTCAATGATTGGTAATTCCTCGATGAATGAATTTCATCGTTCATTGGACGAATCAGTCAAAGAAATTAAATGAATTAGAGATCGAACTACAAAGCGAGAATTTTACATTATTGCAGGATCTTCATTATTTTTAATATCAGAATACACAACTAATTGAATAATCTGCCGTATAATGCTGAAACAATAATTTAGCAATGCAGTATTTAAAAAGAGGGATAGACCAGAGTACCGCGACAAAGGGTCAATTTGCAAGTAGCACCAGAAATCTATATACACAAATTGACCAATGGTCATAGAAAAGGTTGCTGATACGTCACTAGCAGCAGTGCGAACGATAGATCTGCGTGGCGAGATTTTATTTGTATTAATTCATGCGTGTGTGTGCAGATGCGTCGCCCAGAAAGGGCAATTAACTTGCACACTCGATGACAGGCACAGGAGTAACCTTGCGGGCTTTTGACTATTTCTCTCTCTCTCTCTCTCTTCGATGTATATATGCGCTCACACACGCGCGTGACGATATGTACGAGAGATTATACGCATGAGTTAAAAGAG